GGGGCTAAGGTTACCGGTTTTTGGTCCTCGTGACTATGGGGTCCGCCCCGTTTGCTGTTCATCACACGAAAGTGTGTAATAAAAAATCCACTCATTATTCGGCTAACCAGTCTTTATGAATTCTGTCTCTTCCCCTTCAATTGGCTTTCAACATTCTAATTTTCATCCTTCACTTTTATCCAAGTGGGCGGCCAAAAGACAGCAACCAAAACCGGCGCACGAAAGTGTATGGCTAATGGTTGTAAAAATCGGCGAACCTTGGTTAGTGAAACAACCTGCGACAAAAGAGGACAGGCTATTCACAACAGGGGAAAACAGCTTGACCGATGAGCGGAGTACTTCAACCAACAGTTCAACTGGCCAGGTGCTAACCAAACTCTCGTTGGTGGTAGCTGAGGCTCCGTGAAAATGTCATATGAACCACCTACCAAGGCAGAAGTACGATCTCGCCTCCAAGCCCGTCTCCTCTGGTGTAGCTGAGGCTCCGTGGATAGTGTCATCTGAACCTCCCACTGCAGCAGAAGTTTGATGTTGCATCCAGGCCCTGAAGAAGGGCAAAGCAGCAGTACCAAACGGGCTTCTTCCCACTCTTCAAGATGGGGACTCCATTACTCACCATCATCATCATCAGCAGCAGCAAGCTCGCCATTGCTGTCGATTCGCAGCCTGGTCTTCAGTGTCTCCAACCATGCGGTTTCGGGGTCTTTTGGACCCCAACCCGGAAGACGAGGCTCCATTACTGGTTTAATGCGTAACGAATGGTCACACGAGCGCATTCCCTTATCCTGGAGCGAATCACTGTTTGTTCCATTTTTTAAGAAGGGATCTTGCAACGACTGCGCGAACCACCGTGGAATAAGTCTGATCCCAATCGTCACCGAGTTATTAGCCTCCGTCATACTTCGACGTCTGATACCGATTAGGGAGACAAATATTCGTGGAGAACAAGCAGGATTTCCATCGGGTTGCGGTTGTATCGATCAAATCTTCACTCTCCGTCAAGTCCTCGAGCTACACACCGTCGACCCAGGATTGTCGTGTTCTTTGACCTAAAAAGAGCCGTCGATTCAGTTGATCGCGAATCACTCTTAGGTTCGCTCTCTCGCAAAGAAATGCCGCAGAAGTATGTAAACATACTGAGTTCACTCTACTCACATACTCCTGGTAGCGTAAGGGTCTACGGCGAGCTGAGTAGGTCTTTCGTAACGAGCAATGGTATTCGTCAAGGGTGCTCTGTTTCGCCATTCCTATTCACTTTCGTCATAGACTATATGCTGGAGAACACACTAAGTAGGTATTGGACGGGCAGCTGGATAAAAGCTGTGCTATCTATCTATCTATCTATCTATCTATCTATCTATCTGTCTATCTATCTATCTATCTATCTAGAGTACGTGAACGACATTGTTTGCCTTTTCGAATGTATGGATGATGCAAAAAGAGCATTTGAAATGTTAGCAAGTTCTGTCGCTCCGTTTGGAATGCGGTTTGCACTTTTAAAGTGCAAAATGCTGCTGCAAAGACTAGGTTTCACTGAGTTCCGTTCTGAAGATATACAGTCAGAAATTAGCTCAAGTTGACTGCTTCTCGTACCTAGGTAGCTGCGTGACCGACGATGGTAGCGCATCATTTGAGATAACCGCGCGCATTTCCAAGGCTCGAGCACCGTACGCAGGACACATTTGGCGGCGACGTGACGATTTACTGAAGTTGAAAAGTAGCGTATACTGCGCCACTGTACGATTAGTTCTGTCTTCCGTATGTTAGACCTTGCATTTGCGAGCAGAAGATATCCGTCGTTTAGCAGTTTTCAATAATCGATGCTTATGTAGTCTAGCCCAAGTGAGATGGAGTGAGCGGGTTCGTAACTTAGGAGTAAGTCGTCGGGTTTTTGAGAATGTATCGAACAAGAATTCGCTATCACATAGAATTCAGTTCAATAGGACACGGTTCGCGTATGTCCGACGGTTGCCTACCGCAGCACGCCTTATTTGCAGTAGCGGTTGCAGACTGGAGAAAGCTACGTGGAGGCGAGGCATGAAGTGCACAAACCGGTTAGGCGGAGTAGGTGTGTCTCGTCTTCTGGGTTGGGGTCCGAAAGACTTCGTAACCGCATGGTTGGAGACACTGAAGGTCATGGCAGAAAACCGGCAGCAGTGGCGATCATGCTGTCACTTCTTGTTAGACCAAAATGCTTGAATTACTACGTATGCACAGTTGGACTGGATACTCTGTGTGTTGACCATAGAGGTTCGCTTTCTTTCCCCCTCCCCCTAAAATTAGGCTCAGTCCATATCCTCACATATTTTCACTCACCTTGAATGCATTGCGTCGGGCAGCGATCAGTGAAGATCGATTCACTGTTTTACGATGTACAGTGGTGATGATGACACATTTGTGTGAGGAACAGAAGATTTGGTAGACCCCATAATCACGAAGACCTGCTGCTTATTTGTGGAAACCGGTAAACTTAGCCATAGGACTTGGAATAGAGAACCACTTGGGGCCCCAATACTTTGGGGCGTGAAATTGAACCGGATCAAAGAAAATCTGCTTGCCACCATCCTCAACTATGCTGAGCTCCTCGGAGTTCTTTTATAGTCATTTTCAGTTTTGAGCCACTCAATTATTTTTCCTTGAAGTTAAGGTGGGTTACTGTAATAACCCTCCAAAGGTCAGACTTGTTAAACAGGCGGTGACATTTATCTTCTCCTGGGTAGTTTTGAATAAAAGTGACTGATGCAATGTTTTAGTTGTAGATCGTGTTCGTTAGTTTACTCTGATACCAGTTCAATTAAGGATTTGAAACTGGAGTGAGTTATTTTGTCGATCATAACAATAGAGCGAAATGAATAATCCCACTAATTGGTAATTGGCATCCGTAATGCAGTCGTCGTTGAACGCGGCAACGAAGACAGTGAACACTTTTGAGATGAAGAATCTTTGTTTGGTAACTGTGGGCAATACACGCATTTTCAGTGGCTGATTTTCATATCTACTGTAATGAGCACAAACTAAAAAAAATGATGACATCACTTACCTTAGTCAGATTACCGTTCGCGGGTTTCAATTAGTGGACGGAGAAAAGGCATTGATGGCATGAGGATATGAAAACCCTAACAAAAAGATTCGTTCATATAGGTCGCGTTAGGCTTCCTGGATGGACGCCTAGGAATCATTGTAAATAATGCTCAGGTGCTGCATCGTAAACCGCGGAACTCACACATCCCCAACTTCTCTACAATCTGAGTTTACCAAAATCCTCCATTTCCTCTTCGACATTGTTTTAAACTTTCGAATTTCCCTTCCTCCAGGTGGGCAGCTAAAAGACAAAAACCAAAACCGCCGCACTAAAGTGCATGGTTACCGGTTGTTCAAACTTAACTTAACTCTTGGGTTTCAGATTTTGATTGTTGCTTGGTTGATTTATCAGGTATGGGATAAGAATAAAGAAAAAAGTTATAGTGCCGAAGCAAAAGTGAATCACAAGGAAAGGTGAAATGCCTAGCATGGCTTGCATGACCCTATCCACTCACTGATCAGGGTTTCTCTTTCTTCATGGTATGACGAATATCATACCGGGAACGCTGGTCCGGTGATGTGCGTTCGACGTTCCAGAACTATAATTTACCCAGCGTGTGAATGTCTACCAAATACCTGTCATATAATTTTATCTATAACTTAAACACACGACAAACTCTTCGTGGAAAGATAAAATTAACAGCAATACCACAAACATCTCAAGAGTTCTCAACTAAATTTCCTCTTCTTTCGAAATTCGTCTATGGAGAAGTATCGCTGTCCATGTAGTTTCGTAACGAAGTCGATGTCGACACTGCGAGTGGAAGTTGAGGAAGAAAACGTGATGAAATACAAATGTTTGAATATTCTAAATAGAGCAGTCTATAAAGTTGATCCCTGTCACCAAAGTCACTAAGATAACCGTCTCCGTAATGTTCCCTACAGTTGTAAAGAATAAGATTACAGTCATGATAAATTCTGTTTTCCTCGTCAACCTTGGTCAGTAAAGCACAGTGAGCAAAGTTTGTGCACAATGAATGTACAAGACAAAAAATTCTTCCGGACATCAGTCAACGCGAGACAGTGCCTTAGTTCGGTCAGATGGGTTCTTGGATTAACAAAGACCGACATTTTCAGTCTCCAAAAGGCACACTTTAAGTCCTGATTATGACAGGTGTTTACCCGATTTATCGTCATCGTCGCATTGTGCTTTCATTTTCAGTTTTTGCAATTAATAACCTTGCACTTTTACTTGACAGTTTGGGTTGCTGTCTTTTGGTTATCCTTGTGAGTAGAATTGAAGAGACGCAGAATACTGGAAGCAATATCAATGTGACGATACAGAATTCAGGTTTCAGTTTCAGTTTTTACAACCATCGACCATGCTTTTTCGTGTGCCGGTTTTGGTTGCTGTCTTTGCTGCCCATTTGAATGAGGAGAACAGAGAATTTCAGTTGACTAAGGTTTCAAAGAAATTGAGACGACGCGCGAGTGCTACTGCTTACAACACTCAGGCATATCACCCAGTGTATGCGAGCTGACTCTTCACCTGTGACTCGTCCACCGGGTGAGATATAGCTGCCCACGCAACAAACATGTTCACTTGCTCGATTACTTGCCCAGTTAGAGTGAGGCTGGGAGCTGGACTAATCCAGACTTTGAAGGTGCAAAACGTACAGAGAACATGGCTACACTAGCACTCAAACTATCCAGAAAAGCTTGTAACTTATCTGGATCTCTATTCAACAGCACTTTCGTCTGTATACTCCATCTGAGAGCAAATCGACGCCCCCATCCTCGTCCGAGGATGGAGCCGTTTCCATATTTCAGGTCTATATATAACAAGTAGAAAAGGAGAACACCGCTTTTTTGTGAACTAAGGCAAAAAAGTGCCGTAAACTTGGTCTCGGCTTCGGCTATTAGTAGGGAGAGGTTGCAATATTGTAAGCCACTAACTAGTATGACTTTCATTGATCGAACTCTTGGAGTAATAGGGGAAGATCCTTGTAGAATTCACCCTCGATCTCAGGTTTACTGCAATCGGTCGGTGCATGCATCGATACGACGAATGAGCGCCGACGCTTCATTCGGTAGCTTTCGACCCGTACTGAACCGTGGAGACGTACGGCGCACATTCGGTTACTGACGAATCCAGTCAAGAAGCGAGCGTCCAGCCTCAGTACTTAGCGCAATCCCAACACCAGAAACGCTGCGAGCTTCGGATGCCAAATCGCTTGACACACGAGTAAAGCGTGAGGATAATGTTGGTTCTGCAGGACGCAAGGAGGTGATTGAAGCAGGGTATTGTATGCGTGTTTCTGAGACAACATACGTCTAAATTGAATGTTTCAGGGTTTCTAGCTCAGGCAACTTGTGGACCGATCTGATAATGTGCGGACACTAAACGCACTTAAGTTAATACGGAATTTCGGCTTCAAAAATCCTATAACCTGATGTTTTGGCATTACTGGTAAAACGCTGAGTGATATCCGAAGGGCGGCGTGCCAGTCAAAGTTGTCTTGATACATAAAGGTCGTGTCACTAGGGCAGCTTTCGTGTTTACTTCACCGAACTTGCTGTGTTATGCTATTAAACCGTCACATTACTACAGTCAGCTTGTATAATCGTCTTTTCTAAAATTCTACCATGTTCTGTTTCAGTGAACGGATTGGACTTATTGAGCAATGGGGACACAAGTGAGTCAAAACATGGCTTTATCAACTTGGATGTTTTCCCACTACCTTCCAATTTAAGCGTAAATCCTGTGTGACTTCTTTCCAAACCCTTTGTAGCTGACTCCACTCGACCGACCAGTGCAACTGATTCTCACGGCTATCGCGCCCCGTCAACAACACAATCTATGGTCAGCGTGTCTCTTGAGGAACGGCTAAAACGCATGCGCGCTGCTGAAGAACTAAAACAACAACAGCGTTATGCCGCCTTCATTGAATCTCAGCGTCAAGCGGACTTGGTTCGTATGAGAGCGCAAGAGGAACGCAAACGAAAGATTGAAGAAATGAAACAACGTGAAGAAGCACGACGAGCCTTAGTGCTTGAAAGACGCAAAGAATTGGAGCTATCAAACAAGGTATGTTTGTTAGTTTTTCCTCAAGGTTCCATGCCAATACGACCTTTCGACCCATGTAAAAACAACAGGAATTCTGCGATCAAAATGGAAATGCCTTTGGTTCAGAAGCATAGCCTGAGGGCCATTTCTTTGTCATAAAGATTGTTGTACTGTGATTTGTTTGACACATTCGGTTAAAGCACGTAAAACAGAATGATACTAAAAAATGGACCGTCATTTGAACTCCCGAGATTTGGATTGATGTTGGCCAAGAAGTTAAGTTTGCCAAATTATCGAGTCCTACCACTGTAGCCTAACTTATTTATTTTCCACGTATGATAACCCTTTGATTGGCAGCTTTCCCCTTTCTGAAAGTTGTTTTTATCGTCACATGTACTCAGTAAGTGAAAGTTAGACGGAAGGAGAAGACGATAAGACAGTAGTTCTGTATTAGTATATTGTACATTACACTTCTCAAGGGTTCACAATGCATATGATTAGGGTACATTTGCTGTTTTAAGTCACATCAGGTCGAAGGTTTACTGTACCAACAATGATCCGAGAAATATGCATTGTTATTCCTGACTGACGAGCATGAGTTATGCCAACGGTGAAATTTAAATCGGCTGCCACAGGTCGAAAAATTGCTTTGCAATTGACGACCGGTTTTTTTCACCATGTCTGTATCTTCATATCGTATGTATTTATTTTCAATACACATTTTATTTTTTAGGCACGAATTGAAGGAATACGTGAACGTTCGCGTGCCCGAGATGGTTCCGTTCAGAATCCTCGCCGTCGGGTCACGGAGCCGAACATGGCGTTTGGGCGCACCGCCAGCGCATCTCCATCATTGGGTTCTGCGCGCAATCCCAACCAGTTGATGACCACGTCATGTGTGGTGGCCTTTGGAAGCAGTGCCCCACGTTCTATATGTACGCAACCCAGTCCAGCTGCTTTACGTTTACAACAGGCTTTTGAAGCTCGACTAGCTAGTTACCTAACCGGACGACATAGTGGGTGTTTCCTCACCAGTTCTGCCTTGCCCCACTACATGCGTTTGATAGATCATAACGAACATGTGTCACAAACGGCTTCGGCTATCACTTTTTTGGCTAACCGACAGACTCGTGCTAAACAGAATGGTTCAATTGCTAAATTACGACGAGCCATCTCGGCCCATGCACCACTTACGCGTCCTACTAAAGCTTCCTTGGCTCGATCGCATCGAGCAACAACAACCCAGAAAAAATCCGAGACGATGGGGACTAGTACCCGTATCGACTCTCATGATTCCTCGACAGACTCTGGTAAACCAGTTGTCCGAGGCCAGTTGGGTGCCCCAAACATTGTGGAGCCTCCGAGATCAGACGAAGGTTGGTCTTGTGCTCAGCATCCCTCCCAAACCCGGACATTAGTGTTGCATGCTGTGCCTGTGCTTCGTGAAATCCCACGTCTGTGCTTGTGTGTGTTTCTTTACCTACGTGCCTGATTACAGTGTAGACGCTTCGATCAACCTCAACCCGAGAGCACAAACACGCCGCTTATTGCTCCTACCTAACCGGGTTCTCAGATCGCATGCACCTTCGCCTTATGACGATTATCAAAACACGCATGTCATCGTAATAGAGTATTGTCTCGTTTCTTTTTATCGGTATTTTCCGTTTTTTTGTTTTCGAGCTTTGCCTTCCTGGTTGGTGCGCGTGCCGGGCTCATCACAAACTGATTGAGATAGTGCTTTACGGTGATGATTATCAATTTCATTCGCGGTTGATGGTAAAAATCAATGGGTTAAAGTAAACGCCAACTAAAATATCATTCAAGGAAAAATACTATCGGTGCCTTACATCACAAAACTAAACTGGCTCTGTCTTAATGCTCCGTGTGGCATCGGTTTCTCATGCTACAGAATTCAGTTAGTCGGGTGGCCATGATCATAGTTCGTTTGACAAAATTACATTTGTCATGCATTCCTTGTTTACCATCAAAGTTGACAATACTGGTGCCTTCAAAATGGCCTTTCGTTTCGTACTTTCGTTCGCATTCTCTTTCACACAACGTGCCTAAACTTAGCATGCTTTCCCGTGTTAAAACTGTCAAAATGGTAACGTCTGGTGTTCACTACTTGACGCGTTGACTCCCTTTTTCTGCGACGTATTTGTTGGCAATTGCGACGCTTACGAGACTGTTATCCCAAACTGTAGTCACGCCCGCTACGGTAAAACCCCTCAGTAAATGAATCGTGGTCTATTTGTTGTTCCCACGACTCAATGTTTCACATACCTATGTCCCGTGCCTTAGGTTACTCATTTAGTCGACCTATTCGGAGCACATATATTGCCATTTAGGCCTACCTATTTTCGTCTATTCCGGGCATAGTTTGTGAATCTCAGCAGTTCCGTCTAGTTTAAACCCGAATTATTTGTTCCCTCGTCGTGGAGTGATCAGTCAGTTGGTCGGTGACTCATCGCTTCTGTTCGTTTCGTTTAGGCGGCGCCTACCTTTCCGGTGTCCTGATCCATGAGTGTGTTGTATTTACCGAACCACACCCAATCGTCATGTGAAATGTCTTATAATTGGGTTGACCAATTCGAGCAGCAGATAAGCGGCACAGGAGTTATCCAGAGCCTAGTGTCTGAAACCCTCTGTCTATTACTTGCTCGTTCTCACGGGTAATCCTGGAATTTCTTCATGGTTTGAGTTTCCGTTTTTCGACTGGATGGGGTAACCTCACAATTCCTGTCCAGTGTCCCGTTTACGTGCATTTGTCATCTGGCGTCCTCCTCCCTCATTGATTTTCGCATCACAATAATGGAGGTGCTCTCGCAAAGTATCTAGTTGATTCTACGTACGTGCATGAGTTTAATTTCTTTCACTCGGGTGAAATTTTGTCTTCCTAATCTAATGTGTGCCCGTTGCGATCCACTGCTTTTTCATCCTATAGCTTGTCTCCTGATTTTCTGCGAAACCATTTGGTTTTCATTGTATTTGCTCCTGCATGCACAAGTCCAAAAAGGAACAGAACAAAACAAACAGCCACCGATACTTATAATTGCACGATCCGCTTTTCGGTGTTTTTCTTCCGCTCATTCAATACTCCTGTCAGTAAAAGTAATTCTCTTATTTCGTTTCGTCCCTCCAAAATAGTACCCGGTCGTTCAAACTCTTCTCAGGATTGTCACAAGTTGGGTCGTCCTCCCCGTGTTCCAAGTGGCTCAGCATCGCACTCCGATATAAAGCCAATGAGACCAAGTAAGCTGTTCTAAAGGTCTTCATCGTTTTGTTCGCTCTTTACACATTGTCTCTGCGATCGATTTCATTCTAATCGTGGTGATCTCGAAAATAGACTGTCGTCTGATCCCCTCGGGCCAGGTTCTGTTTCAAATCACTGCTATACGAATGTGCAGAACTCTGACTGCAAAAGGTACGATATACGGTAACGTGGTATTGTCATTCCCTCAGAGTCTCAGTAGTTTTGATTTTCGTATATCTTTTCATCATGCCAGTTTTCATCATCATAAATGTCTTTACAGTGTATCAACTCCCGTCGTTCAATTCATCGTATCTTCTTGTTCTCTAATATGTCCAGCATCATCCAGTTCCAGCAACAGCTCGGCTATCGGCTCGGTGCGTTCCATTTCTGTCGATACCCTTTCCCGACGACCAGAGTCGACGAGTGGTGTATTTGATCGCTTAGCTCGGGACATCAAGAGCCGCGAGAAGGCCACAAAACCCATAGAATCTACAACCGAGACTAAGGCGCGACCGACATCCACTCAGTTTAAGGCACCAACCGGTAGGTCAACCATAATTAATCTTCTTCGATTTCACGTTGGAAAACAACGACTAGATACCGGTACACCTTCAGCAGGCACAAATTTTTAATTACCATAATTTAGAATCAGCCTCTCGATTCTGACCATTTTAGCGTTCTGGCACACTGCTTTTTATCAGTAATGTTGTTTAGACCATCTTTTTAATTCCAATCATCAGAAGTACGCAACAGGACCTAAATTGTCCGTTAAATTTAATTTGATCTAATTTGACATCTGTTGCAAAATGTCATAACTCAATTAGTGATTGCAATGCAAATAAAGTTCCATGAGGTATCAGAATGTTCACTCATTATCGGAGTCTTGGTGGGCACTCACATGATATACCTAAGTGTTCTTCTAGGGCCATAGAGATTTACCCAATTTCAGCGTTTAATTCACACTTGTGACTGGTACGTGTAGGAGTTCCAGATAGCCGTTTTTGAGTTGTCAGTTTTTCTAAACCATTCGAACCGAAAGCATCAAGTCCAGTTGTCGACCTCTCTAGGTTTGGTACAGGACTAAATAAACAAACCTGCACAAATCGAATGAACTAACACAAATACATCATCCTAAAGTGCTACCCACAACCTAAGCATCTAACCGAGCGCCTGAACCCCACAGATATCAGTGATCGTAGCATGTTGTGTTCACAATTGAGCTTCTTCAGTGCTTCAAGCTCTTCAAAAACCTACTGATAGGATATATTCAAAAGTGAACAGTCCATGCTGATTGTTCCTCATCGATCACGTTAGTAATGTCATTAGTGCTTCTCTGGCCTCCAATCTTGGACTTATCTCTACATGGCGTTCTATCAACCATGTTTCAATGCTTTAAAAACTTCTCCCCTCTCCGTCTCTCAAACGTTCCCCTTATTCCCCTCAATTGATTTTGACTAGCTGACCCTTCGTTCTACAAACTCTCTCCCTGTTGGGTTTATCTATAAATTTTTTTTTCTGTTAGCCCTCTTTTATTTCCACACTCGTCTGCACGCAAAGTACCTTCTATTCCGTGCAAAGCGCCTCTTGACGCCCAAGCACTAGGTTCTTTTACAAAGCTCGAATCCGCCCGGTTCCCGAATATTGCAGTCGTGTATAGGGTGGAGTTTCATATTCCGTTCTTTCTCTCCTCTACCGTGTTCAGCGTAAGGCCCTCCGGCTGATCGCCGAATCGTCTTTTACTTCAAGCTTGCTGTCGCCTTCCCATCACCGGGCAGTTGCTTCGTTATCTCTTTACCATTCTTAGTATTTTAGTTTCTGCTATTCTGAACTCGCTTCAGCGGTTACCCTCCCTGTGGCGTTTTCTCATTCATCTCTTCTCCAAGCGGGCAGTTACCCTTAACGAGTTTCTGTCCCCAGATTTCAAACCTCTGCTTTCCAGTCTTTTTCCCCCTAAAACCGCAAATTGTAGAACACTTCCCTTCTCCGCGTTTTCAACTTCTTATAATCAATTCAATCTTCTTATAATCTTTTCAAAACTAAGGATTAACAAATAGGTTCTCATCGGAATGCTCCTCTGCATACCTTCCCCTTACAGTATGCCATTGACCATGGGGTCCACCCCCGTTTGCTGTAAATCACTTTGTGATAAAAATTGTTCAGTGGGCCGTGATTGCCGGTAAACCTCCTGGAGACTTTTGGGTTCCTCGTTCTGCTGGATGATATGTGTAGTTTGAACTGGCACTTTAAATTTAATGAATCTTATCCGTGACGTCGGATAGCTTGAATGGGGTCAGTCAAAACCTCAGACCTCACCTGATGGTTTTAGATGGGTAAATATCAATTAGGTTCACGTACTAACTCCTTTTGTCCCTCCGATTTGCACATTGTTCTGTGTATTTCGCTATTTTTTGCAATAGAATCTGCTGAATCACGGTAGTAGCAAAGCATTGCTTTAACTTGCCACGAGGGGGAAAATTCAAGCAAAACATGTGGTAGATGTGTGATAATGTGTCTCACACTGGTGATCTATTTGTACCCTTTTCATGTACCTGATCTTGTGGGAGTTTTGCGCATGGCATTTGTTGTTCGATACGGCATGTGATCAGTACTGTTTTCTTTTCTCATCATTTGACTGTAGTTCTACCGGTGGTTGTGGGTCTACCAACTATTGTTGGGCCGATTATCCCTACCACATTGTTTTACGCAGGGAGAAGCCATAAAATTATCTCAGTGAAATTTAGTAGTTTGGGACTCGGCGGAATACGTGCACGGTATTCGCTTAAACATTCTGTTTGTAGATTACAATTTATTTCAGCTGAGCGCGTCAGGATGTTTATTCAAATTGTTGAAGGAAAAAACAAATCGGCTTCATTACCAGAGAAGGCTACGCAAATTTTGGTCCCATTCGCTCTGTGGGATGATTTGACTCACCGATCGCAATAGTTTTACTGTGACACACCCCTGAGTGGAATGGACGGTATTAATAGTCGATCCCTTTGGGAATGGATACAAATATAGCTTTCTTCTCGTTTTCATTGATATCTTGAGAAGATTTTCGTTGACTATCTTACCACGACGCCGATAAACGGTTTTTGATTGTACTGAGAGTATGGGACTGAGTTGTATGCTCGACTGCACTGAGAAATCGATTAGCCCATGGGCGTGGTACAAAGTGGACTGATTACTGGAACCTGAAGTCCACATGAAACAGCTGGGAGGCTGATCGACCTATCGGTAAATAAACTGATAACCCCTAACATTTGCTGTTGAAAATTAAGACACTTACCCAAAATTATTGATCTGTTGTCAATCGATTGTTGTCTGCATTGGGATCGTGGCAACAGAATGTCTATCCTACACTTTCAGGTCATTTCGGGCAGCTCGTGTTTTTTCATGTGAGATAAGACCTCGACTCTCCACTGTCAGCGGATCAATCAGTCGAAGTTTTACCGTATTTGCCTGTCTCCCAAAATAACACAGTTCACTACTGAGCATTCGGTTTTCATAGTCTTCGTGTACATCACGTCTGTTCACGTTGTGTACTGCGACAGTCAACTTGGAAGATGAATTCGGTGAACTGGGTCTCTTAGTGTTTACACTTGCTTTTTATACGAAAAAATGTTAGTATGGTCTTGTTAACTGGTTGTTTCTTTCTGTACTAAACTGAACTGTCAAACCCAGTCTCCTGATGAACCGATCAAATCATACAACCACGAAACTTTTTTGCCATTGAAACTATTAAGAGAATAAAAAATCACGGTGTCTCTTCGAAAAGTACAACCCATTCTATGCCGACTGAATTTATAGTTAACCCATACTATCGCGTCATCGCACACAGTTGAACCACCGCCAGCCCATATCCCATCCTGGCTGGGTATGGTACCTTCAAGGCCGTGTGAACAGGGTATGGGTCTTGCATGGCATGACTTCTATTTCATCTATAACCTTCTTCCCAGCTGCGAAGTGGTGACTATGACGGTGGTGAAGCAAAGTCAACAACGAAACAACCGATCTTTTATAGAAGGTCATAATCATGAGTATGTATCTGTTCTCGGATTTTTTTGCACAGGATCTTCAAAATGATTGTTGACCTCTGAAGCGGAGGAATAAATGTTGAAAATGAGAGAGCGGAAAATAAGTGTCACTTCGTTAATGCGATTTAACCAAATGTTAACAGATACGAAAAGAATCGATAAATTGACAGAAAACATTATCAAGTGAGTGATGGAGGATTTGAGTTGATTTCAAAGGTTATTCGTCGTGTATATGGCACTACTGATGAGACCCAAACAGGTCGAAACAGCTATCCGGTGCTTCCTAGCTTTTCAGTCCACGTTTCGTTTGCCATATACACGACGAATAACCTTTGAGAAAACATTAAGTCAAACTTGTCCCCCATCTCCGCACCCAATCAGAGTAGCTTGTGTAAGGCAGCCAGTGTTGAGTGGAACGCGCGTTCGGTGGGCACACAACTATAATACATGACCTTGTGATGCCGATAAGTGTGCCACGAGCAGATTCGTGATCTCAGCCTCCACGATTTGTGTCCTCCCCATTCTATTTTGATTTCAGCTATAGAGGAGTCTGAGTTATGTGAGCTGCATTCCTCCCTTACTTCTGTAGTCTTTCACTATTCGTTTTCGCGTTGATTCACTTCCAGGTCTTGATTTGGTTTACCTTGTTGATTTTCAGTAAACGGTAGTTTGAATCGGCTTTGGTGTGCGTGTCCATTTTGCCATAAGTTCTGCTTGTATTCCATTTCGCCACAGTTGCACAACTGCACCTCTCTCTCTCTCTCTCTCTCTCTCTCTCTCTCTCTCTCT